TATATATATATATATATATATATATATATATATATATACACATACATACACACACACACACACACACACACACACAATATATCTGAAAGCTGAATAAATACGCTTTCCACTGATGTACGGTTTGTTAGGATAGGACAATATTTGGCCGATATACAACTATTTGAAAATCTGGAATCTGAGGGTGCAAAAAAATCTAAGTATTGAGAAAATCGCCTTTAAAGTTGTCCAAATTAAGTCCTTGGCAATGCATATTACTAATCAAAAATTAAGTTTTGATATATTTATGGTAGGAAATGTACAAAATATCTTAATGGAACATGATCTTTACTTAATATCCTAATGATTTTTGGCATAAAAGAAAAATCTATAATTTTGACCCATACAATGTATTTTTGGCTATTGCTACAAAAATACCCCAGCGACTTAAGACTGGTTTTGTGATCCAGGGTCACATATTTAAACAAATAAATAAACATTTAAAATAATATAATTTACACTATGAATTTAGAGATTAACAATCTAGAAATTAATATTTTATTCAGTAAGGATGCATTATATTGTTCAATAAAGACATTATGAACTTTCTACTCATTAAATTTTTTATTTTTTTTAATGTATCACGATTCCACAGAAATATTAACCAGCACAGCTGTTTTCAACACTGATAATAATAAATATTTCCTGCGCACCAAATCAGCATATTAAAATTTTCTGACAATTTTTTATAATTTGTGACACTGAAGACTGGAGTAATGGCTGCTGAAAATTCAGCTTCACAACCATAAGAATAAATATATTTTTTTATATTACATATTACAGAAAACAGTTACTTTAATTGTCTTAATTTACTTCTTCTAAACTTTTAAAAATATTAACAACCACAAACTTTTGAACTGTAGTGTGTATAATTATTTTTGTAATTCCTTCAACAGAACACACACACACACAAAAAAAAACTCTTCTAAACTTTGTTTTTGTTCAAGATATACTTTCACAAATGCTTAAAGTGTCCTAAAACCAACACTAAGTGCAGCTTTACAAAGCACCGTCAGTTAAACAGGAGGTAGCTATCTGACCGCACCGCTCACTTACACACAGAGCAGGAAGAGCAAAAGTCCAGGACAGTTGGCTGCAGCTGCTAGGTTCCGCCACGGCTGAACATAATAACCCAACGCAGCAAACAGAGCGATGCCCACTGCAAAGGTCATATTAGTCAAGGTCCCTGAAACACAGACAATCACATAAGCTTTACATGACTACTGTCAAAAGTAAACAACAAAACTGATTTAAATCTTAATTCATGTGTACCTGTCAAAGCCCAGTAGGACTTCCCCACATATTCCTGAGTAAGAACAAAGCAGACCAACGCCATTCCTCCGTTCATCATTCCCACCAGCAGCCGAGACACAGCAAACACCTCATAACTTGGCGCTAACGCTGTTCCGTACCCAAACAAGACCTCAAAAAACAGACCTGGGAGAGAACAGTTTTAATAGAGGTCACCAGGACAGCAACACATTCAACTGTTGTTTTAGGAAGGTCTAGGCCTTATGTTTGTTTCTTTGCTTTTGGTTTTCAGTTGGTTGCGCATTAAAATCACATGTAAAGCAGTTATAGATGATTAAATAGATGCAAAAAAGAAAAGACCTATCACAAAGCAGTATGCACATATTACAATGATGTAATGCCTCCTTATGAAACATTCTATCAATTGAAACATTTTCCAATTTTAGTCCTACATTACTTAAAATGAACACTTACTATAAGGCTGACATTCTACAATCAAACATTTACCCAGACTGCAGAATTAGGGTTTTACTATAGACTATTATAAAAGAACAGAAACCAGTTCAGCTCCATCTTACTAGTAAGGAAAACCGGCTTCCTGCCAATCTTATCGGAGAGTGGTCCAAACAGGACATTTCCGATCAGCACACCCGCAAAGAACAGAGACCCAGCCAAGTTTACTTTGTAGGCTTCATGCTTAATCAGGTACCACTGCATAAAAAGACCAGAACAGACCAGAATATCAAACAGTTCAAATATGTATGCATATACCTGCTGTCCTGACCAAACACAAAGATTAATAGACAGTTCTTACCTACTTGATATCAAGTATAGGTGAGACCTGTATTTGAAAGGATGAGCCAAGTTTAAGACAAATTAGTTTAATGTGCTAAATTGATGACAGTCTCTTACCTCGGTCACGATTGAGCTGACGTCTTCTGTGAATTTCACACTTCGTGTTATATCATCATGCGGATCTCCAGTAACAGGTTCCATGTGATATTCCGGCACAGCACCCACTAAAATGATGAGCATGGACTGACATGCCATGTAAATCTGTAAAAGCAAGACAAATATTTCAGGTTATTCAGCTTTTAATGATCTAGGCCCAGTGTCCTACCAGTAAATGAACAATATCCAATCTGATCTCAAATCAGTTCAAATAAAAACCCTGATATAGAGATGATCACTAGAATGTTAATATAATCAAATCTTCTCTTTATTATTTCTCATTAAGGCCATAACTCATGTAGGTTATTTCAAATATATTAAAATGAAGGAAAACAGAAACATAAAGTGCATCTTCGAAAGAAACCTTATTACTACATCTTACCTACCAATGCAGTAGAAAAGGATCATTTAGACTTTTTTTATAATGTTAATTGTATCCCTTCTCACCACAAAATAATTTATAACTTCATTTCCATATTCACCTGCTATAGGACAAACAACATTAGACAGATTTTGGTGAGTTTCATAGATTTTTTAAAAATAACTTTAAATCGCTTAAATATGGATGGTTCCATAAACATAATATTTAAGCTACATCACACAAGTTGTAAAGAAATTGTTTGTGACTTTTAGATATTTTTCTTTATATTAAGAAGGTTCTAATAGTTCCATTCCTATCATATTTCAAAATATTTATGACTTAATACTTTTTTTTTTAGACACTATTGAGTAACAGGCAAAGAAGAACACACTTTTTGAAATAGAAGTCTGAAAGGAAATCAAAGCAGGAGATACAACTCTGAAAATTAATCCAAAATATTGCTTGATATAGACATCCCATCGCCTGAAGATAAGATGCAAATATGACATGGCTTCAAAGGTTTGAGCCATCAAATATACATTTTGCATAGATTACTGGCTTGTGTGATCAGAAATATAAAGGAGTTTAACTACACAAACACATGTCTGTCCAGTATTTATAGATTTGCGTCTATCATCTGTTACCTGTAGGAACACCAGGATGGTGACCATCCGCTTCTGGTGTCTACCGAACTCTCCAACCACCTGGTAAGCCTCCTCTAAATCCATTCCAGGGTCAAATCATCCGACTGCATACCATTGTGTGTATATTTACATTCTTAATAATGGCTTTGAGTACAACTGAGGTTTCAGATGTTCCGCTGTAATCTGGCTTCCCTTCGCAGACGCGAAATTAAACCACGTGGTACACAGCGGTCCTGATTGGACGAGAATGTGTTATTCAAACACGTGGTACAGACCGCTGTTCTGATTGGACCTCAGCAATTAACGCTTTGTGGGAAAAGAAATTGAAACGAGCGCTTTTAGTGACCCCATTGTTTGTAATTGGACTAATTTGGACTAAAATGAAGGGTCTAAAAAGTGTTCTCATATTTTTATTCTTTGTATTTTCAAATCAATGGTTATCGTTAAAGACTATCAAATCATCATTATAATCGATGTCATTATTCAGGTGTCAATTATTATCCAGACTTTAGTAGATCGTTCCAGATATACATATTCGGAGAAACAAAGTACGCATTTAAGTTCAGATAGGCCTGCTTTACTGCAAGCAAATCAAAATATGAAAAGCTCTTTTGTGCACAAATGCAGGGACGAGAAAAATCAACCATCAAAAATCGTAAAGTGTAAAGAAAAAACATTTAAAATAACATTTGTAATTTGCGTTAGATCAATGCGTCTGCTAAATGATTAAATGTAAAATAAATCAATAGGATTTAATATTGCTTTTCTACTTGGCTTCTCACCATGGCCCGTATTCACAAAACATCTCAAAGTAGCTCATAACTTGCCGATTTAGGAGAAAATCTTAAAAATAATGGGCGTGTCTATCCTAAATTTAGGACTCCAAAATTTTTGCTCTAAGAGCATTTCACAAAGCGTTTTAGCACTAAAACTAGCTCCTAAATCTGTGGAACGTTAGGAGTAGTGAAGAGGACTCCTAAGTCACTAAGACCAAACCACAAACTAGGCCTATCCTATGGGATCAGATTCCCGCCAAATGTATTGCAGTCACGGATAAAAAAATAACAAGCGTGAACCCAAAATTTAAAAACGCAAGTAAAATTATATTGCACAAAATTGAAAAATGAAAGCAAAGTTTTCAGAACAGCAAACAATGGTCACGGATCAAAAAATAATAAGTGTAAATCAAAAATTTAATAACTTTAACAACATTGCAATCTTTTACAGTTTTCAAACTGGGGTCTGTGTCGTAACCCAAAGCCAGGGGGTCCCGCAAAATAATTAGCTATAATTTTGCTACCGTATTTTCCGGACTACACGTCGCGTTTTTTATCTTCTGAACATGCTATGATTTATATTCTAAAGTGACTTATATAATGCATTTAATGGCAAATAAGCAAAACGTAAACAGGTAAAAGTGGGCACTTCAAGGTTTCTATAAATATATTTCTCATTGTGTGTGACAAGTAGTGTTAGACAGTATCGCTGAGTTTTTCTTCATTTCAGGAAGAGGTATAAGAGACGGCAAGTGCATTTTGTATGTTTTCTTCATTTTACAAAAGTACAACGTTTCACTGTTATTTTGAAGGTACACAAATAAAAAAATAGATCGTTTTGAATGATGTCTTGCTCTTATCTATCACATCTTTCCGCTGATGTGAGGAACCCAAGGAACCCAAGGCGGATCCCGTCATAAACAACAACAACATTGCAATCTTTACATCTCAGCCTCTTCATCATCAAAGTAAATGAGACAACTAAACATACAAAAGGTACTGGTGACTCAATTTAGCTTGTCTTTTGTACAATATGTAGGTTTTGCCGGTCAGCGTGAGCATCGCCATGCCGTAGTGTTTTCCAAACACATTTTTTGCATATGTGAAGGATGTTGTTTAAGTATTCAGATACGAGAGAAGTACAAAACCTTCTTTGCAAAATAAATAGGCTAATAGTTTATCAACCAAATGTTACACCGCGTCTAATGATTCACTCATGGAAATGAGGGGTATGAGAGCCCAGCAGGAGGTTTAGTTTTTAGTTTAGTTTTAAATAAGTTATAGGCTTAACATTTAAAATAAATGTTGTTTGTAAAGAATGGCACTATAATTTATTTTAATGACATACAGTTAAGCAAAACACGAGGAAGTGTTTTTCCTAATATCAGGACCATTGCAAATGTTTACTGAACGGAATCAATATAACAAGAAGTATATTTTTGAGTGAGTTTACTATTAATAGTAACTATTTTCTCATTTTGCTCTATTTCGACGAAGAGTCCAAACAAAGCCACAGCAGAACAGTGTCCTCTACAAGCAACACAGCAGCCTTCCGTATTGATTCACTTTATTCCTCACTAAATGAATCAGCCATTTGAATGAATGATTTAATGTCTTACTCTAAAGATAGTAACTTAGCCACCTACTGGCTGTTTTACTTTCATATTATGATCAAACTTTATATATTTGAAACATTAATATGATAGTGTTAGGCAAGTATATATGTAGCTATGTAAATACACACAATATGCAAATAAATCATTGTGTATATCAAATCCACCTGGCCTCTGTAACTGTTGCACTGTTGATCGTTTTCAATGCAAAAACGTTACATTCATTCAAAATTAAATTCCCGATTGACTCATTTAACGTTAACGGCTCGCCAGGTAGGCGTATCAGTGACAGACAAACACATAACGGTGTCCTGTATGGAAAGATGTTTCCCAGCTGACAGTTATCCATTTTCATCTGTAAAAGTGAACAGAACACTGAGCATCAGCAGCTAATGAGGTGCGTTGGAGAGACGTCACCGCCCCTCTTCATCTGATTGGCTGGAGGAGGAGCTGTCAATCTAGAACAAGTGGACCAATGATGACGCTTAAGCCCGCCCTGATTAACATGAAACTTTGGAAGAAGCAGCGCAGAACGTGGAAACAAGAGTGAAGTGAAAAACAGCATAAGCATACAAAAAGTAAAAATATTTGCAGAAAACTGAGCACAAAAACAATAGAAATATAACCAAGGAAAACATGATTTTGTGTGCAATTCGGATAATTTTGCATTATTTCAGTTTTGTGCAATATGATTTTAAATGTTTAAAGTTGATTCATTCTTATTTTTTTTAAACGCGTTATTACATTTTTGATTTACACTTTTTTTTAATCCGTGACCATTGTTTGCTATTCTGAAAACTTTGCTTTCGTTTTTAAATTTTGTGCAATATAACTTTACTTGCGTTTTAAAATTTTGGTTTCATGCTTGTTATTTTTTTTATCCGTGACTGCAATACATTTGGCAGGAATCTGATCCCATACTATCCTCCCTGCTGAAGAAACCAATAGAAACCATCACAGAAATTCTAATGGTTTCCACTAAAAATACCATTACAAACATTACAAATCCTCAACTTTCAACGATTAAACTAATTAAAAATGGTTTTCTGTAGTGTGTTTTGGGACGTTCCATTAGTGGTTTTAACAAGCCAACAATAGAAGGCGACCAATTACCAGTAGAGACTAACAGGCACCATTACAGTTCCCATTATAACCAGTAAAACCATAAACAATTCTGTGATGGTTTCTATTTTTTTTTTTCAGCCGGGCTAAAATGGCTGTTGCCAGCAATCTGCCTCAGAACAAACATTTTAGAAACACGCTGCATTTATTTGCACATGTTTTACCATGCAATTTTTCCTTTTTGGTTTTGGAGGTTATCCCAATTCCAAATTTTCCAAAAGTTGGGTAAGTAGTAACAGCGGTTCTTACGCCCAGTTTGGTTTTCTTTTACATTTGCATGCCTTACTATCAGCCATGATTATTCTACTGTTTATTAAAAGGCTGTTCTTATGCATATTCACTAATTGTTTATGAGAAGCACACATGTAAGAGGCTGACAATTAGCTGAACATATACTTGTTTAATTAGTGACACTTAGCCTGCATTTTTAAACCTTTATTTGAATATGGCAATATAATATTGCACTCTACAATATTTCTATGAATAAATCTCTGACAGAGACCCCTATCAGCTAATCACGGTGTGCACTGTTTGCAAGTATGCCGACATCATCCATAGCAACAAGGTCAACCCAGCCCTTTCTCTTAGCTTAAGACGTCACGCTATTCCTTAGTAAAAGTTTGTCTCGGCGGCTTTGTGAGTAGGTTTAATAGAAAACTCTTAAGCTAAAAACTTTTACTGCTATTTAGGAGAACTCTTAGTGGCAAGAAAATGTTTTGTATACGGGCCCAGATTTTTACAAATTTGAATGATGCATTTATCTTACACAATACAAAGTTTGCTAAAATAAGGTTACAACAATTCTTACATTTTAATTTTTTTATTAAATGCAGCAATCCGCAAACATGATTTTCTTGTAATAAGAACCTTATGTTTCTTAAATTTGAGGAAAACATACATCTACAAAGAGCACCAATGTTAGTCAACAAACTAAATGCAATAGAAAGAATAAACTTTATACAAACATTTTAAAACAGAACAATACTTTAAAAATATATTTATTGGTTCAAATATGAAGTGGATCATTTTCTTTTAGCTTTTAAATTAAACATACAAATGTTTAACAAAAATCACAAATTAAACGAGCTCTAAACTCTAATGAAACTAACAGAAAAGGTAACAAAAGAAATCACCCTGACGTTAAAACATTATTGAACTGTGAGGAAACAGACATATGAAAGCTAAATACATACATAAGTCATATTTAAAAAGACATACACACATAGTTAAAACAATGCTCTTTAAGACGTACAAGGAAAGAATAAAAACCAGAATATAATTTGTTAATTCTGACACCTGAGTGGTAGTTTAGAACGTGGTGGCGTAGACGTGCTTTCATTCTCCACCTTTGAACGGTTCAGTGATTTATTGCAGTTTTCCTTCTTGCTTTTCTTCTGACAAAAAAATAAAATAAATAAAAAATAAAAGATCAAAGTATTGTCAATAATTGGCAATTTTGCTTGAGGGCAAGACATTTCCCAACACAGATTTGGCAATGGGTTCAGTGTTTTTCACATTGACTGACAGAAAGCTGCTTGGTTCAAGTGACTTTTGTGCGAGATGTGCATCACACATTGCTACATTATTGAAAATATGCAATGGACCTTTTTTTGGCCCCAAAAAATTTTGCTAATGTGACCAGACCTTAAGCCTGTGCATGACAATAAATGGGTCCAAATTGTCTCACCTTGAAAAAGGGAACCCTTCCGTTTTCGTAACACA